ACTATTTGAATTAAGAAAATTAGGATGAATAAGATTACTGCCATTTAATCAAGTATATCCAGAAATAAGTTTAAGTGAAGGATTTACACCTTTAGTCATTTTAAGCCCTATGTTTAAATTTTTTAGAACCAAGATTTTATGAAAAACTCTACTTATATGATGCAACATTAAAACTTTCAACTAGATTAATTAATGATTAGAAACCTAACTTAATATTTACTTATTACTAGATAGAATCAAAAGAAAAAAGGAAAACTTTATAAATTTTTATTATATAATACTATTGACATATGGTATATAAAATCCTCAAAACAATAAAATTTTTTCAGCAAAAAGAAGTTTAATTACTAGAATCCTTGCATAGGATGCCTTTAATTAACCAATATAATAAAAAGAAAACGTTTCCCTATCAAATCAGTTATCAAATTATCTAACAAATGGAATCATATTGTTAACAAGAAAAAAGGTGATATAATGTCAATCAAATTAACAATTCCAAAAGAATATTCTAATAATATGCCAATTCTTTTTAATTATTGATATTTAGGAATTTATATAAATCATAAACGTAGTATTAGTTCTCATTTAAATAAAATAAACCTAAAACTAAATTTTATCAATTTAGCCCTTATTATTATATCTGCCAAACTGAATTATACATAGTACTATTTCAGATTTATATAAAACCCCACTTTAGAGATTGTGTCATTGTAGCCTACTTCAAAAATAAATAGCTTAATAAATTAAATAATAATCAAGATTGCCCAAAAGCACTTCAGATGAGTTTGTAAATGTGTTTTGTCAACACTTTTATCATATCATATGACATATTAAGAGCGCAATAGATAAATTAAAATCAGAGAATGAATAGAAGCTTAATTTTATTAAATAACGAATTACTAATGAACTTGATAATGACCTTTTGAAAAGATCTTATGAATTTCAGTAAAAATTAATCTATTATTGAAATTTATATAGACCTTATGCTAAGAGCATCGCAAAAGATTGACAAATAAGCATATCCTTAATATTCATTTGTAAGTAACCTTAGAAACGGTAAAAATTAAATAACATTAGACTAAAGAAATCTTAATTGAAAAAAAGAATTAATAGAAAATAATTTAGAAATATTAAGTCAAAAATCTATAATATTCAATCATCTAGAGCAAAATGAGATTAATATATGGTTTTTGTAATAAAATTTGCATTCGAATTTACTAGAGGGTAATAAATAAATAAATATTTTAAAGAAAGCAAATAACATTAGAATTATTTTCAAATATTAATAAAGCATTATAGTGAAATACCGAGTAATTTTTCCAATTTTTGCCAATATTTTATATACGCTTTGTTACTATCAAAAAATGCTAACCACAATTTGAGAAAATTAACAATAGAATAAATCAAGCAATCTTAATTTATTATTAGACCTTAGAGACAGAGCGGATGATTCTAAACCTAAAGAGAGCATAATATAGATAATTCTAAAAA